GCCATTTTACCAATATGGACTTCATTTATGATTCATCAGTATATGGTGTAAATGGATTCTGTCTTTCAAGACATAGAGCATTTTTGTGGTGCCCATGGATCTTCAGAGATATACATTCAAAGGGTATCCATAACACTCAGTATTTCAGTAGTTTTACCACTTTGGCTTTGGTTTGAACAAACAAATTGCATTTAGTGTGTCAGATCTTATGTACATTAACACAGTGACAATTCCACTTATTTACAAATATATATGTATGTAAAAAATATATATGTAAAAAACAAAAGGAATAAAGTAATTTCTTGAGGAAGGAAAATGTGTTTATTAGGATGAAGTTGAAAGGTATATAATGGGACACCTGGGTGGCTTAGTGGGTTAAGCATCAGGTCATGTGCCCAGGTTCCTGGGATTGAGCCCCACATTAGGATCCCCACTAAGTAGGGAGCCTGCTTCTCCCTCTCCTTCTGCCCCTCCCCCTGCTCATGCTCTCTTTCTCAAATAAATAAATAAAATATTTTTTAACAAGAAAGGTATGTAGTGTAGAAAAGAGACAAATATAAAAGGTATATATAGTGATTTGAATAGAGAGCAAGAGGACTCAGGAAGTGGTACTCTGAACTGATCTAGCCCAGGAAAATAATAAATGCTTGCTCCATCTTACCTGGACTGGCCTTTGTGAGCCAAGGTAGAATATAATCAGACACTTCCTTTGGAAAATGTTTATTTGGTTCATGTCCTGATCAAATTGCGCTGAGTTTCCTCTGTGTTAAGGAGACTCCATTGCCTTACTGAAAATGGATGTACTCTCAGTCTTAGCTATTGGTGTGGACATTTTTGTTGCTTTTCATTGCTCGCTGTTCTTCCCCACTTTTTATAGTAGCAAGGCATAGAATTTTCTTTGAGGAATCATCCCTGACCCAACTGTTAGTCCATAGTTTAGATAGGAGTGTTTATCTTACCACTCCCCACCAGTTCCAGAATTTTAGAGGATTAATCTAATTAGCATATGTGTCCTCCTAAGCACAGTGATTGGCTTAGGAATGGGCATGTGACTGGATTTGGGCCAATGAGGATTAAGCCCAGGATTTTTACTGAAACTACTGGGGAAAAGAAACACTCTTTCGGTTGATTTGGAGCTTTACGACTAATCTTGGAGGTAATGGGGGCGCCACCATAAGTTAAAAGACTATGTGAACATAAAGTCTACATGAAAGATACTTCTACAGAGGGAAATCTACACAGAGAATTGAAAAGGGCTATCTCCTGACTAGTATTGATTTAGCAGTCAGATCCAGCTGTGCCTGAAGCCTGAGGTTTTCAGATATTACAGTAAATAAATTCCCTTTATGCATAAGCCAGTTTGATTTAGCTTTTTGTTACTCATCACAGAGAGAGTCCTAATTAACATGTGTTCAGGGTAAGGGGGATAGAGATGCATATTGATAGCCGAGATGAGTATAATTCCATTAATAATATTTTGGAATGTTTTGAGAGAAGGCAAATAGTCCTTGAGTTGAGAAATTTAATTCTTCCTCCCCTCAACCCATCTCTGTGGCCCCTTCTGAAAAAGTAGTCCCTCATCAGCCTTTTTACTTCTCCCCCCACCTCTGTGCCTTCCTCCTAAGGAACTTTGTTTATTCTAGTAGATGCTTATGAAATAAATCCCTATATATCTCTGCTTCCCTCCCTTTGGAAGCAGCTGAGATGAGAAGAGCAGGCAATCCTATGCTTATTTAGAAAATAATAATATTTAAAGAAAGAGACAGGCAAGTATGTCAGTTATAAGCTTTTTCTTTTTTCTTTTTTAGAATTGAAGCTTATGAGTTTATCTACGCCCACTATATTCATAATTACAATTTAATATCTGCATACAAAAGCTATGTAAAAATTCATTTTTCCCAAATATACAAATTTTCTTTTTGGATAGTTTAAAACATTTTGATCACAGATTTTAACAGAGTTTTAGGCTGAAAAAAATATTACCAACCTAGCAATATCACTTAACACTGTTTGCAAAACACATATCTTCCCATGACTGTAAATCTTTTCCTATTCTGTAGTACTTTTCTGATTCTCAGGGCATGAAGACATTATGTGGGGGGGGAAACGTGTTTTCTCTGGGGAAAGCATAGAGAACTAATTTGGCTCTATAATCCAATGAAAAATGCCAAGTTAATTAGGAAGAACCAAAACAAAGAAGTGGTGTAATGTCAGCTCATTCATGCCCTTACATCTTTTATAGCAACAATACTTGTGTAATTAAATAAAGTGTCATCTTTTGTCTTACATTGTGCTCCGTAATTTACATGAGTATTGTCTGCATCCTGAGGAGGACAGATTTATATTTGATTGTCTTGTGCATAAGGTGGGTCAACTTTAACTGTGCAACAGAAAGCCACAAACAGCGTTTTACCTGCACGATATTGCTCTTGAAGGCGGCATTAATTAATGTGGAAACACACTAGAAATGCACACTTTTTGCATTTGCAAACATTTATACAGCACAGTAAAAATTCTGTGATAAGGCCAAACCTTTTTACCCCCAGTCTGTTTATTTTTTTTGTGTCTGTTTTTAATGTATTTTTTTTTTTAAAGATTAAAGTAAAATGTTTCAATTGTAAAAAATACACACCGGGCAAATCCTTACCTGGATAATAAATATCTACATCACAGTACAATAAAATTTCTTCTCTATAAAATTTAAATATGGATTATAATCTATCACTATCAAAAGAAACACTATGCTAATATTTCCATATTATTAAAATAACAGGAAAAATTACAAGCTTATTTTAGAACCTGATGCCATAGCTGTTGGAAAGGGCAAAGAGATTCAAATGTCTGTAAGCACTCTCCTTTGGGAGAAGAACTGCGGCTTGGTTATTCACTTAAATTCAGTTTGTGAAAAAGGTTTAGCCTTACAAATGCTGGCTACATTTCAAAAACCATAAGACCGATTTCATAATTTATGACTCATGCATCGAAAGGTCAATATGACACAAATAGGTTAGAGTTCCAGAGAATAAAAATGGATCACTGACAATGACATGCTTTGAGGGTTCTCAGCAGTTCCGTGGAGGCTGAGTCTCTTGGGGGCTTAGTGCTGTGGAGGTGCCAAGACTTGGGCACCTGTCCACAGAAGAGCAATGAGAATGGCGTTGCTGGAGCAGAGCCGAGCCTGGCGGTCCACCCCGATGACCGATGACCGCGCTGCAGATGGAAGAGGTGTCACTTGGGGCACAGGTGAGGGGGTATCACTGAGCTGAGGCATCAACACGGCAAGCACGTCATTGAGGACCAAGGCTCATTTGACTAGAAAAAGCTCTGAGGCAGCACGTGGTGTTTTGAGCAGAATCATAAAGAAGAAAAGATCTTATTTTTTTTTCACTAATTCTGGAAATACTGCACATCTAAATTGAAGAGCAAAGTACACTTGAGGATTACAAACCCACACGCGCGCGCGCGCGCACACACACACACACACGGACACTCCCACACCACTCATCCCCCAAAGTGAAGTGATTTATAAATAAGAATCCCAGTTGTACAGGTGTGTTCTCCTTTACTGGGATGTCTCCCCTCTGTGAGGGGTTTCAATCAGGTCCACACTTGATATGAAAGCCCAGACAATATAAGAGAAAATGTAAAAAAAAGAAAAAAGAAAAAAGAAATCCAGGGTAAATCCCTCCTGATTGAGTTTTATGAGATGGAGTCTTGAGATGCACTAAGTACCTCAACTGGTTACAGAAGAATGAATCATTTTGACCCCAGGGTCATGATCCTTTGAGTCTTTACAGCCTTTCTTTCAAACTGAAGTACTTTAAGGAGTGTCCTGCTCAGCATAAAGTATTCGGCCTACAACAAGAGTTTTAGATCAGCAGTTTGCCTATTTAAGGCAGTCATATAGGGAACTGAGGATCAAACATAAATTTACTTGGGGCTGGCTGGATTATTGTAGATATACTGTAGCATTTGGCCAATGACCAGTCATGGTTAATCCCCAAAGCATTCAGATTTAGCCTTAGATCACTTAGATCACTTGAGGATTACAAACCCACACAGGCTCTGTACTTATATTTGAATCTGGGTGTGTCTCATGTACTACGGAAACTCTGTCAAACAAATTGAGGTAACTTTCCCAGGGAAGGCTTGATGCCCGATGGGTCTGTGAACCCTCCACTACCCCTCCTGCTCACCTTCCTCTCATTCCCTTTTGAGAGAAAACTTGCCTCTCACAGCAGAGCTTTTCAGAGTTACCCTTGAGTGTAGAAGGTAATTCAGCATTATGTTTCAAAGAGTACTTCTCCAAGGAGAGTCAACAGAGAGAGATGGATTGCTAACAAAGCAAGGACTTCAGGAGACTGGCTAGAGGCTGCCTTAGAGAAGACAAAACAAAACAAACTAAAGATAAAGTCAAAGCAGGTAATCTGCCCATGAATTTCATGTTTATAATTTTAATCTCTTCCCTTACTTCCTTTTTTTGCTCAGCTAGTTCTGTGGCCATATTCTTGTTTCCTCTGAAGCCAGTATTATCACTTTCGTGTATGAAATCTTTTTCCTTCCAGATTATTCCCAGTCACACTTAAGTTTTTCAGTGCTGTTCCTCTCCTTTTTCCAATGCCATCCTGCCTTTCTCTACAGAGTTAATAAATAGTATATCAAATTCTTGTTTTGACTCAACACCAAATATGCTTTCCCTAACTGTTGAGGGCCATAATTTCTGTTTAATAAAGCTAGAAATTTGAATATGAAAGAAACCATCAAAAAGGAACAGATCCCCCCCCTCCCCTGTCCCCAAACTAGTACAATATTAAGGATGGGAAAAATTTTAAAGTTCATGACTTTCTCCCAGGTGAGAAAACCAAGACCAAAGGTCACAAATCCACCAGCTGACTGAGTACAAACTAGAACTCAGGCACCCTGACTCTGGGCAAGTTGAAAAAGTTAATCCACTTGGTTTTCACAGTGACTTGCATTCCCTTTTTTTTTTTTTTTTGTTTTTTTTTGTTTTTTAGTTAAATCTCACTGATATGGCTTGTTTTCCCCAATATTTCCAGGATAAGGCAGTTCAAGGCAGGTAAAGGAGTAGTTCATGTCTACTATGCCACTGAAGAACAAGATACATTCAATTGCATGGGTACATTCTTTGCCCATTTTCTTAAATTGAAATGATCAGGGATCACCATGGGTTTTCTGGGCACAATCTACTACAGTGTTTGTCATCAGGGAGGAGGGTGAGGCAGGGAAGGTGAGTGTTCATGTACATGGTCTGCAGGTATCTTCTATGAAATATATGTCAGGGCAATGCTCTAGAGGGACAGGGAGGGTCAGTGGTCAAACTAGTCTTTGTTCAGTGATAGCCAAGCCTGAGAGTCAGAGGGAAAAGGCAAATAGGTAACATTTATTTGTAGAGCAAAGAGCTCGAGGATCTAAGGCCAAAGGGAACCATCAGCACATGAAGAGACTCTCAGAACACTGCACTTCTTTTTACTCAGAATGCACCACACTTATCTCTCAGAATTCCTCCAGAACAAGACTCAAATTTCAGCTTGTTATCTCTCCTTGATTAGAAGATTTAATCCATAGGGAAATATGTTGTCAGCTCAGCAAAGATGCAGTCAGGATTAAACAACTTCAGAAGTTTGAGAGATGACAGATCAGATGTCATTGAAAAGTGACAACACTCTGTAAATCGGTTTGATTTTGGTAGAGATTTTCTCTGAGCCTAAACTGTAAAGCAGCCTTCCTACTCTGAGGTAACACCATGTGGATTTTTGGAAACTGTTGAGTCATTGACATTAGTGAAGCTTTCTAATTTCTTTGGGCTTGCTGAGGAAAATTGTTTCCCTTGTTGGCCTCAGTCAGTCAGATACCTGCACATCTTTGAGTCACACCCTTGTATAACTTGAATGAAATCATAGGATTATAAAAATTAGAGTGAAAGGACAGCTGATTTTTGAGGAAAAAATATTTCTATACATTCCAAGTTATGCTGCTAGGAGAGAATGAAGAGTGCTGAAAACAGCATGCTCTTGAATAGATAAAAACCAGTTCAGACCTTTCCCTAGAAAGCTGAAAGCCACATCTAACCAAAGGTGGTTTGCACCATACTAATTTGAGCCCTGCAAAAATCAGGACCAGATCCAGATGACCATATTATCTTGGTTTTAAGGCTTCGTTAGTTTTCTGCCACACCATTTTGCTTGCTTCAGTCTCTGACCAGGGACAGATGGGAGCTGGTGATGGCTTGGTGCTGGTGAATTAATGATTGTCCCCATCCCACCTCCACAACTGTAAAATCTTCAAAGCATTCACATCAAAGGACAGGAGAACAAAATGCAATAGTTACAAGTACCCGCATTCAAGGGGCAATTTCATCCATGTCTATGCTAAGGACTACCTCCCTTTACCCCAAACAGTCCCTCCCAACACAAAGAAACAAAGGAACAAACAAAAAAGATCTAGGCAATGGAATGAAATGACACCCAGTAGTGCTGTAGGAATTATGAGAATGAAGTCAGTCAGTCTAATCCTCGAATACTTCCAAGAACAATGGGGGAAAGAGTTCTGTGGGGCATTCCACCTTCATGTGCAGGAAGCGGCTGGCATGGCAGGCTCCAATCATCCGCAGGTCTGTCACCTTCATCAGGAGTTTTGGCCAAAAGTGTGTCACATGATGTTTTCGGTAATTGATATAGTGTTCAAAGGCCAGCAGGAAACTATCTTGGTATTTTTCTATTCTTTCAACGCAGGCAAGCCCTGGGCGGTCTGAAGAGAAGAACAAAGATGAATGTTAATTCAAAAGTGGAAAGGAGAAAGCCCTGGTCTGTCCAGTTCAAGCCTTTGAGTGTGAAGTGGGCAGAACTGGGGACCTATCAACTCCTAGGAATGAACATGGATGCAACATGAACTCTGGGGCCTCAGGGACCACAGGTCTCAGGAAGTATCACAATGTTTACACAAAGGGAGTCAGCACTTTGTTCAGATAAATGTGTCTAGGTTAGACAAATCACCTTGTTGGGTGGGAATGGCATGCCTCCCTCTTAGGATACAGAAGGAGAATTCTCACCTCTAGAGTTGAAATACTGTGCATAATAAGGGGAAGATTTTGAGTTTCCACTGGCTGCCTGGCAGAGAGGGGAAGACACGCATGGACGCGCAGAGGAGGGGAGATGTGAGAAGGGACTGGAAACATTGTAGGAGGCCTGAATGCCAAAGGAGGAGTGTCAGACAATAAGTAATTCTTACAGAGACAAAGAAGCTCAATATCCAATTTTAGTTTTCTGGGTTGTAATGAACTACTCCTTCTTATCCCTTATAAAGGTGATAAAATTGCTACCTGTAGCAACCTTTTATTGGTGGTGTTTTGGGGAATTAAAATGATAAGAAAAGATATGAGCCTTGCTAGTATCACCCTGTGCAGAGAAGAGAAGAATACGGTGGGAAGCTGGAGCAAGAGGAGACCATGACTGTGTAATGACCTTGAAATCTTTCCAAGTCTTGGGAGGACTGCTGGCCTTCCTGATATATGTGGGAGGGGACTTGGGACAATTTCATGAAGATGATAAAGAGATGTGATGAGAAGTTTAGATGACTGGGGAACATCCAGGCTGCAAACAGTTGGGGTACAAAAGTGGGTACAGAGGGAATGTACCTCAACATAGTAAAGGTATATATGACAAGCCCCTAGCTAACATCATATTCAGTGGTGAAAAGCTGAGAGCTTTTCCTCTAAGATTAGGAACAAGACAAGGATTCCCATTCTTAACAGTTTATCCCACATGGTACTAAAGATCTAGTTAGAGCAATTAGACAAGAAAAAGAGACAATAGGCATCCAAATTGGAAAGGAAGGTAAAACTCACTATTTGCAGATGAGAAGATATTATATATAGAAAATCAAGACTTTACCAAAAACCTGTTGGAATTAATAAACAAATTCAGCAGTATACAAAATTAATATGCAAAAAATCTGTTTTGTTCCTATAAACTAATAATGAATTATCAGCAATAGAAATGAAGAACACAATCCCATTTACAATAGTGTCAAAAAGAATAAAATACTTAGGAATAAATTTAACCAAGGAAGTAAAAGACCTATACACTGAAAACTATAAGACATTGATAGAAGAAATTGAAGGAGACACAAATAAATGGAAAGATAGTCTGTATTCATGGATTGGAAGAATTAATATTGTTAAAATATGCATCCTACTAAAAGTGATCTACAGATTTGATGCAATCCATATCAAAATTTCAAAGGTATTTTCACAGAAATAGGACAGAGAATCCTAAAATTTGTATGGAAACACAAAAGACCCTTAATAACCAAAGCAGTCTTGAGAAAGAAGAACAAAGCTGAGGGCATCATGCTCTCTTGTTTTCAAACTATATTACAAGGCTATAGTAATCAAAATGGTATGGTATTGGTATAAAAGTAGATGCAGAAGTCAATGGAACAGAATAAATAGCCCAGAAATACACTAATGTATATAGTTAATTTATGACAAAGGAACCCAGAATAAACAATGAGGAAAGGATAGTCTCTTCAGTAAATGATGATGAGAAGACTGGACAACCACATGCAAAAGAGTGAACATAGACTCCTATCTTTTTTTTTTTTTTAAAGATTTTATTTATTTATTTGACAGAGAGAGAGAGAGAGAGAGATCACAAGTAAGCAGAGAGACAGGCAGAGAGAGAGGGGAAGCAGGCTCCCTGTGGAACAGAGAGCCCAATGGTGACATTTGATCCCAGGACCCCGAGATCATGACCTGAGCTGAAGGCAGAGACCCAACCCACTGAGCCCTCCAGATGTCCCTAGACTCCTATCTTATACTATACACAAAATTAACTCAAAACAGATCAAAGACTTGAATCTCAGACCTAAAACCATAAAACTCCTGGAAGAAAACAGAGGTGGGAAGCTCCTTCATATTAGTCTTGGTAATAATTTTTGTGGATCTGATTCCAAAAGCAAAAATAAAATGGGACTACAACAAACAAAAAAGCTTCTATACAACAAAGGGAAACCATCAAAAAATGAAAAGGAAACCTATGTAATGGGAGAAAATATTTGCAAATAATGGGAGAAAATATTTGCAAATAATATATCTGATAAGAGGTAAATATGAAAATATAAAAAGAACTCCTACAATTCAGTAACAAGAAAACCCACAATTAATTAAAAACTGGACAGCGGATCTGAAGAGAAATTTTTCCAAAGAAGACATATGGATGGCTAACAGGCACATGTAAAGATGTCCAACATCACCAATCATTAGGGAAATGCAAATCAAAACCACCATGAGATAGAATGGCAGTTTATCAAAAAGACAAGAGATAATAAATGTTGGCAAGGATGTGGAGAAAAGGGAACACTTGTGCACTATTGCTGGCAATGCAAATTGGTACAGCACAATGGAAAACAATATGGAGGTTCCTCAAAAAATTAAAAATAGAATTACCATATGATCCAGTGGTATTTATCCAAAGAAAACAAAAACACTAACTTGAAAAGATATATGGACCCATGTTCATTGTAGCATTATTTACAATAGCCAAGATATGGAAACAATCTAACTGTCCATCCATGGAAAAATAGATAAAGAAGATGTGGTATATACATACAATGGAACATTAGCCATAAAAAAATGAATGAAGTCTTGCCATTTACAACAATATTGATGGACTTTGAGGACATTATACTAAGGAAAATAAGTCAGAGAAAGACAAATACTGTATCATCTCACTTAGATGAGAAATCTAAAAACAAAGAAATAAAACCAGGCTCATAGAAACAAACAGAGAACAGATTGGTGGTTGCCAGAGGCTGTAGGCTGGGGTGGGCTTAATGAAAGAAGGGGGTCTAAAGATACAAACAAACTTCTAGTTATAAAAAATAATAAGTCTTGGAAATGTATGGTATGGTGACTATAGTTTGATACCTACTGCATATTTGAAAATTTGCTAAAGCAGTAGAACTCAAAAGTCTTCATCACAGGAAAAAAATTTGTAACTATATATGGGGACAGACGTTATCCAGATTTATTGTGGTGATCATTTTGCAATATATACAAATATCATTATGTTGTACATCTGAGACTAATATGATGTTATATGTAAATTATACCTCAATAAAAACCCCCCAAAATAATAATTTATAAACCTGGATGAATTCCTCATATAGCTCCAGGGAGCCTGACAACCCCACTGCCCAGTACACCTCCTTTGCTTGATGTGGCTTTGATCAAGTAAGTTCACACTTCAAGTGTCCAGTTATTGAAGGATCTGTGCTAGTATAAATCAAAACAGGGGTCTGCTTAATCTATAAAGAAGGCTCAGCACCAATGTCTCTCAATTCACTCTTTTGAGTTTAAACAAAATATATGGGCTTTTGGCATCCCCTATTTGGCTTGAATTATCATTTGTGCATTCTTATGTTATGTTTTCCCTTGTGTTTGATGATGCTGCTCTGTGTCTCCTCAGCCCTTCTCCCTCCCTCGCCCTTCTCTTCTCTCTTTCTTTGAGTGTGCCAGAAGAATTCTCCACAGGATCCTTTTCCTTTTGATCCAAACAGAAAATCAACATAATACTGCTCTGGATGTATTCCTTCAAGGGGAAAAAAAATAACCTGGGTTTTGTGGTCTCAAAATTCTGTCCTTTGATGAGAAATAAAGGTAAGGTGGTCATATAAATAACACAGAGAAAATGAAAGGACATTTTGATCATGTTCAAATGGTGCTAAGCATGTTTATGAAGAAATATTTTAAAGGTCAAAGACTGTTTTTAACTCCTTAAGACAGAATTTCTCAAAGATACATCCTTCAGATCATTTCCATTTTAGCTCTCCACTCATCACTGCAGGACCAAAGAACTTAGTGGTAGCAGCTCCTGGAAGAGGCTTTGAAGAAGGGGCCTAAGATACTGTGCCACACAGAACAATGGCTTAGAGGATAACCCTGAGAAGGGCTGGAGCCAAGGAGCACCGACATGGAGCTATCATGTGCCAACATAAAGTGTCTTGTAATCTTTTTCTGGTTCTGGCAGTATTAATGAAAAATACCCTGGTCATTAGGGTGGAGAAGGGTTTTAAAAGGTTTTAGTAAGTCATGGGGCTGTCAGGTGGTGACAGTGTCATCAGAGTCAGGGGATGGGGAAGAATCATCTAGTTAAGTGCTTGATAGAGTTTGGTATCACAACTTTTGCTTTTTTAACATACTCCTTTTATTTACCTTACCGAGATCATTTGCTTAACAGTCTGTTAAAATTAACTCACTACAGAGGAAACACTGTATTATTCAGTAAATAAAAATCCATTTGCCATACATAGAAGATAACCACCAAAATGGGTGTGTGACAAAAATTTTATTAAACTTTGGCTAAAGATTCTTGCTGAAGACTGTGCCCAAGACCCACTCTGTTAAAAAGGAAGGTCATTGAGTTTAGAGAGGCGTTCAGGACAGATTGGCACCAAAATGAATCTCTGCTTGCCTTATTTAGGAGATTTATAAGCAGAAAGAAAATACTCAGAGAAATAGCTTTCTCACTATGTGGTTCAATGTTATAAAATTGTCTTTGTAGCACTATAATTTCAGCTAAAAAATTACCTTGAATCCCCCCTCCAGGGATATAATTCCCGTTTATTTAGTTCAATTTCTTTATTTTAAAAGACACTGAAACCCAGAGAAGATAAGGGGTTGACTCAAGGTCACATAGTGAATCCTTAGATAAGTTATCCATTTTTTTCTTTAAGAATAAGTCTTATGAAGGACTGAGGACCCCGGTTTCTCACTGTTGACTAGAGAGCCCCCTCAGCTCCAAAAGACCACATGCAGGTCCCTGCCATGTGAGTTTTCCCAAGTGGCTGCTTACTTCAGCCAGCCAGCAAGGAGAGTCTCCAGAGCAAGTCTATTAGCAAGAAGGGATCTTATATAACATAACGCAACCTCATCACATGGCGGTGACATCGAATTCATCATATTCTATTGAAGCAAGTCTATTAGCAAGAAGGGATCTTATATAACATAACTCAACCTCATCACATGGGGTTGACATCAAATTCATCATATTCTATTGAAGCAAGTCACAGGTCCTGCAAACACTCAGTGGGAAGGGATTGTATAGGGGTGTAAACATCAGAAGGTGGGAACCTGGGGGGTACCCTGCCTCTTGTCTGCTACAGCATACAGCTGGGTTCCTTATGCTACTAGCACTTACGTATGTTTGAGATTTTTCCCAATAAAAAGAATTTTTAAAAAAATGTCTGCCACACTATATAGCAAATACACTTCAAGATGAGTTAAAAAAAAAAAAAAAAGGAATTCTGAGTGAACCAGGAAGCATGAACTTTATAAAGGATTATCATTGTATTTGTGACTGATAATTTACCCATCTGTTTAGTGATGTAACTAATAAACATTTTTCAAATTCTACTAAACACTGGCTTAGGCAGTAGGTGTATAATTAGACATATTTCTGTCTCAAAAAATAAACAGTCCAGAGGGAGAGGTGGATAAGTTAAGCTGATAGCTATAGAGCTGAGTGACAAGTGCCAAGGCACATCTAAGCTGAAAAGACACAGGGGGCCTCTGAAACTACCTTCTATTTATTTTTTATTTAAAATTTATTTATTTATTTGAGAGAGAGAGAGCACAAGTTGGGGGGAGAGGAAGAGGGAGATAAGCAGTCTCCCCGCTGAGTAGGGAGCCCTATGTAGGGCTTGATCTCAGGACCCTGAGATCATGACCCAGCCAAACCCAAGAGCAGGATGCCCAACTGACTGAGCCACCCAGGCACCCCACTATCTTCTATTTAAAGACTAGCTTTCCTTAAAGAATTTGTCGATTTTGCATTTCTTATTTATTATGACATGATCTTTGAAGAGAAAAGTGTCAGCATTATTATCCACTCTTCACTGAAGGAGTCTGGAGTCCTGATAATGAGCTTGGGGTAGGTTAAAGATGGCTACAAACTCTGCCATTTTTTCCCATCTAGAGGTGAGCTCTTGACTCTGGGCTGGTGCTGGGTCTTGTTTGGAACAATAGTATGTGGCATAAGTGATGCTATATGACTCTAACCTGAGACTCTGCAATTTTGCTTTCATGTGCTTGGAACTCTCCTTCTTGGAATCCACCAGCCATGGAAGAGTTCAACTGGCCTGCCAGAGGAGAGGCTGTATGGAGAGAGGCCTGAAGCTATGTCTTAGGTCTCAGCCCCAACCCCTGCTAAATTTAAGCCAGTAAATTTTGGGATGGTGTACTATTTATCAATAAATAGCTGAAAATTAAGTTTTAGCTAAGCCATAAAGATTTCAGCTTTCACTCGTGATTTCCTTAACCAGAACTTAACACGGAGTGGTGTGGTCACTCATACCCATATCCTGCATATATAAAACCAGAAGGAGTCAGAGTTGGTCAATGACTATGAGGCAGGCTGGGTGGTGTCCATTGAGGGTAGACCGTTTCATAGAGTCTTTAAAACAGCTTCTTTGGGTTCTTCCTAGTATGCTGAGACTTCAGGAAGCATCAGATACCTGACACGCCCCTTCAGTTCCCAGTTCATTGGCAAAACGCCAATTGCTTGCTAAAGGAGAATGAGCTGTGATTCTGAAGCTAAAGGGGAGGTGGGGGACTGGGAACTCATCAAATGATTTGAATTAGCACCAGGCACACAAAAGCTCTTGTCACCCAGTAATGAGTCTGGGAGCACTTACCTGAAGACATTAGCAGGACTGCCTGAAGGAGAGCTACTTCAGTGTCATCCAGGTTGAAAGAAGACAGTGACATGCCCAGGTCAAAGATGGCGTCCGACACCACCCCAAGACCCCCGTTCTTCAGCTGGCCCCGCGTCACTGCCATTTCCCCATTCAAGGTTAAAGTCTCACTTTCTGGGTCATAGCGCACAGCAGCACGAAGGGACATGATCTCCATGCAGCAGCCTTTGAGGAGGATTATCTGGTCTTCACATGGCAGCTAAAAAAAACCGGCTCGCATCAGCAAGAATGAGCACACAGATGTCAGTGAGCAATAATATGCAGTATCTTAATAGCAACAGGGACCACATCCTGTGATCAACTTAGTCTTGCACTCTTTGAGCCCATGGCTTTTCCCTTCCTACTTGGATGCAGACTTTCAACAACCATTTTTCAGACTCTAAGTTGGTGACCAATTTTAATGTCAGTACTTTGCCTTTCTTTTATGATGGATATAGATCTCCAACTGGGATTACAGTCCTGTGTGAGATCGCGCTAAAAACCCCTTACTCTGGGGTTTTGTATCATAACACCAACTGATCATTGCTTGAGAACATGGTTAAGCTTACCTACATTTCTCATAGTTCTATAAGTCAACAGCTGGCAACTGTGCTTCTCTTTGTTTTTTGAAGCAAGTTTGCTCCTTGGGTCTCTCAAAAGGCACAGAAGGAGAAGGTCACATATAGAGGCATGTTGTCCCCGAGGCCCAGAGATGTAAAAGCTTTGGCCAAAGTCACCCAGTGAGTTAGAGGCAGAGGTGAGACTAGAATTCAGACCTCCTGGCTCTTAGGGTTATGTTCTCAGTAACTGAGGCACCAGAATTACTTCACACATTGGGTTTCTCTGCCAGACTGTAATCTTGTTTTAAGCATATTTGGTTGCCTTGTTAATTAGGATTTGTGATAATGTGGTAACATTTATAATAAACTTTGTTAGCAAAATAACAAAAAACCAGAGTTTTACTTTCTGGGGGGAGAGAATATTTAATTAAAAGCCATTATCAAAGTAGTTTGAAAGGCTATTAATGGATATTTTTGAAGCATTGGGCATTGTGCTAAGCTTTATAGATGTCACCTTACTTAATCTTCACAGCAATACAGTGAAGTGAATATTCTAATTCCAATTTCATTTACCGAAGTGGAAATCAAGGCACTGAGAGGTTGAGTAATATGCTATGGGGTCACATGAGGGTTTTGTGAGTGAGGCTAGTATTTGAAGCTAGATCTTCCAGAATCCAGTGCAAAGAGAAGAGAACACATTCTTTTTAATTACTTAGGATATGACTAAGTTTCCATAAACAACAAACATATAAATTACACATAATTATTATCTTTTCATGAAATCAAGTACAAATTCTTTTGGGGCAGTACTCTTGGCAACACTTGACTAGTTCAGTTTTGGTTGTTATGTAAAACTGAAGGTAATATTACTGAATTACATTTAAAATGCTGGGTATTTCATATTTTTCTCTAACTCAACCTAGCCACCTTACCATTTAATTTCAAAACTTAGCTTTTCCCCCAGAATAAAATTCATTTCATATTTGGTTCTGGAATTCTCTCCTTCCACTCATTAAAGAAAAAGAATCCCTGTGATTTGCTTTTGTTTAGGTTCAAATTTGTGTTCCTTGATGATATCTTTGGATTTTTGGCCCAAGATCATCATAGGAAATAGGAAACCCTAAGCTTGGATAGATCCTCCACCAATAAGATGGAGAATGGGCCCAAGTAGATGGAGGCTGGCTTTAATCCCTCTGGGGAACAGGGAAATATTTGGCCTCATCAGGGTCACGTGAGGGCTTGTTAAACACATTGCTGGTCCCACTCTCTGAGTTTCTGCATTCTTCGGATTCCCAGGGGATGCTCTTGCCTTTGTTTTAGCGGCCAGGGACCCTTTTGTTCTTGAGAACCACTGGCATAGAATAATAAAGAGAAATTACTGATCAGATCAATTTAATATTATTTTTTTAACTTGTCACAAGGAATGCAAACTTGGGCAGGCCTTGTCTTTGTAGCTAAGTCTGAGTGTAGATGAAGTAGAGGATTTCTTTTTAAAACTTAACTGTTGGTTCAGATTGAAATAAAAGCTGAATTCGTATTTGTCAAGGATCACCAACAGTTTAAAAATTAGGCCAGCTGACTTTCCCTTTTAGAAAGGTTTGTAGGATGCTGTTGAGATTTGTTTCAACATGTGGGCAAATGATCTTGGTTACCTGCCACAATACTTTCACTGTGACATTGTGGCAAGAAGGGCCTGACAGGCAGAGGTGCAGGGACACTCCCACATACTCTTCCTGTCTCCTCAGGAGAACATCACTCAGATTGACTGGCAAAGATGACAGTGCCCTGTACCCCAGAAATGATTCTTTTTTTTTTTTTTAAGATTTTATTTATTTATTTGACACAGAGAGATCACAAGTAGACAGAGAAGCAGGCAGAGAGAGAGGGAAGCAGGCTCCCTGCTGAGCAGGGAGCCCGATGCGGGACTTGATCCCAGGACCCTGAGATCATGACCTGAGCCGAAGGCAGCGGCTTAACCCACTGAGCCACCCAGGCGCCCTCCAGAAATGATTCTTAATGCGTGTTTTTTTGGCAGTTCTGTCAGCAGCGATTTTAGATCTTTCAAAGCCCTGGGTGTCCACCAACCTGGCTGGGGGGTTGGCATGCATCTTAGTAGAAAATTACTGTGAGCCCAATTTGAATAGCACATGCCCCAAAATGCCTCTGGCAGGAAAGCTCTGGCTTTTGAGATGACCTGGGATCTCTAACCCACTCCAGAGGCAACTCAGCGGCCTACACAATTCCTTTCCCTCTTCAGTGTTTTAATGAGAGTGAGAAAGAATAAAGGCCCTCAGAGGGCCACAAACACTGGAAACAAATGCATCTCTGCTGTGAAAGTAGCCTTCCCGCCTTTTTTTTGTAATTTTGAGACTATACAAATCAGGGTTAAAAGAGACAGAATCATGACCTCGAAGCAGGATTAAACTTCTGAGGGAAATATGAAGAGAGAAGCTGGCCAGAACCCATGCTTGCAAAGTTCCGTGTTGATCCTTCACCCTTGCCATGGTCATAAGTGCGTGGTGTGTTCGTTCCTGGTGGGTGCTGGAGATGGCTTCTTTTATATCTTCTTTAACTGAAATATCTGTCTGTGGTTGGTTTACATGAGCTTTACATTTCCTAAGAAACATTTTTGGTGGGTATTCAAAGGGGGGACACATGACAGGCTAGCTCAAGTTGTAGGGGTGGTGTCCTTAATAGAGTTTCTCTTCAGACACTAAGGATGGGGGACAAGAGACAGCTCAGAGAGAGTGAGGATCAAGAAAGGTCCAGGAAAACAAACTCAACCCAGTGAACAAAAAAGAAAGACGACACTGAGAGTCAGAGGAAACCAGTGCCCTTGGCACAGCTATGAGAGTGTGTACCCTTCTTGAAAGCAATATGGCAACACATCTCAGAAGCCTTAAAAGGTGTATATACTTTGGTCCTTAAATTCTACTTCTGCGATTTGCCCTTAAGAAATAGTGCTGTGAGCAGGGCATAGGAGCCAGGATGTTCACTGGAGAATGTTTATATTAGTGAAAAATGGGAAAAGGACTGAAGATCCAGTCAATGCATATAACCTCAATTATGTAGATCTATTCTTTAGAATAGTATACTGTCACTAAAACTTATTTGTGAAAGAACATTTAATGATGTGTGCTCTACAGTTGGGGGTAAGAAGTTTGGTACAACAGGGTGCTGGTAATGTTTCTTTACCTCAGTGTTAATTACTTGGGTGTGTTGAGAATGTGAAAATTCACTGAGCAGCATCTTTATGATATGCGCCTTTTACTCTTTAATAGAAAAGTTTAAAAATGTTTCATAAGTAGGATGTACATTATGGTATAAATTATATATGTTTCATATTTTGTATATGTGTGTGTACATGTGTATATACATATATGTATACACACACATAATTGAAAAAGACTAAAATAGACGCCAAAACGTCAGCAGCTTATCCTTAGGTGGTGTTACCATGAATCAATATCTTCAATATGTTATTTTAAAAAAATTTTGTTTATTTGAGAAAGAGAGACTGTAAGCAAGCATGAGCAAGGGGAGGGGCAGAGAATAGGCAGAAGCAGACTCCCCACTGAGCAGGGAGCCAGACTGGGGGCTTCGATTTTAGGATCCTGGGATCATGACCTGAGTTGAAGGCAGACCCAACAGACTGAGCCAACCTTGAATATGTGATTTTTAATAGCCTTCCAAACTTTAATAAATGATAGTTAAAAAAGATGGTCAGAGACATGGGATGCTCCACACCAAATACACATATGAAAAAATTCCTTCTCCAGGACCCACCAGCTCTTCTGGGCGTGGGGTATGAGTCATTCCCTCTATAGGACTGCCAGCTGGCACATCAGATACCCTGGGCCCCACCACAGTGAAGCGGGGGACAAGAGCAAAGTACACACTCTCTCAGCTAGGCCTGGGGATCAGATACCTGCATCCTGAAGCCCACTGCTCTGTCCTTCTGGATGTGGCTTTTGTGGAGGTGCAAAACAAGCAATGAGAAGTGTCCTCATCAGTGTCTGAGGTCTCTCAGACTCCAGCTGGGGTCCCATTATTGCAAACCCAAAGACGCAGATGAGCTGGAAGCCAAAGCAGGATGGAATCTTTCCAGGTGAGGAGAGGGCTTCTTTCTAGGTGAGGCTAGATTGGCTTCTCACTCGGGTAGCTTACATAAGAGGCTCATGGCAGTACATGGGCCTGTGTATTTGATATCTTTCTGGGTTTCTTTGGAGGTGGGAAGAGCAATAGTATGGGACCTGATGGCTTTTCAAAGGGCAAAATTCTCCACTTGATTCAAAAAAAGGAGGTTAGAGGCAGGATGGTAATGTAATAGATAAAACAGGAGCCTTAACAAGTGGAATTTATGGATACACTTAGGCCCCAGGCATTATCCAAGCACTTTACGTATATTATCTCATTTAAACCTTACAATAGCTCTAAGCAGTAAATACTATTATGATTCCCATTTTAAAGATGAAATAACCAAGATTTGAAGACACCAAATAAGTTATGTAAGATTCCTGCCCATCTGGCTGACTGCAGAGCCCATGCTTCCAAGCACTACATAGTAGGACTGCTAAAGTTAGAGATGAGGGATGAGGTGTCCTAAAGGGAAAGCCTATAAGCTCAGGTGGATGAGCTCTTCAGGGTGCCATGAAAATGGGGCAAGAAAGGGTGAACTTATAAGAAAAGAGAGGAGAGGTAAGGAGTTACGATCCTTGCTCTGTGAGGGAGATCCTTATTCTTGAGGTGGAAACAACCACACAACCGTTTTGCTAGGATATGTAACGGAAAGCATATTGACTTAGACTCAAACCATGGCCCCATGTTTGGATAAATTAACTTAATCTCTTCAATCTTAGTTTTCCCCATCTATAAAATGGGCTTAATTAAAGCTATCCTGCAAATCTGTTATAAGGATTGGATTTAATGTGGGCAGAGTTGAGCATGGTAACTGGGACATCGTAGGTGCCGAATGAACAGATGTTATTAGTGTCAGTCATATTTCGCTATGCCTGGAGTCAGTGCATAGATAGGATCTTCAGCCTCATGTGAACTAGCTAATGAGTGATGACTGAATAGAGAAGTAGGGAAATAAAAGTGAAACAGTGTATTTTCATTTTGTACTGACATTGCTTTCATGTGACTAAGTCCTAATTAACATTAAATTATAAATAATACTCCATATTCCTAGAAATCAATGGAACTGCAATGAAAAATAATGCAGAAGGAAGAACAGTGTCCTCACCTCACAAAACATAGGCAACTTTTTGGCAAAATCCACCACTCTGGTAATTGCTGGTGTGATGATTTTTGTAAAATGGCTGAAGGCTTCCAAGTCAACCTTTCCACCTTCTGGGGCATTTACTATTGGTGCTTGTCCAATATCTTCTGGCTAAGGAGGAGAAACAAGAAAGATTTAAATGAAGAACACGAATGGATCTTTATCATCGTTCTCATGTGGCAGAAAAATCTCTTCTGAATTGACATGTTATACAATTTCCGGTTTTCTCTTTGCTCATTATTAAACTATGTCATTTTCTGTAGTTCAGTTTTCTGAGCAAAGTCACTGTCTTGGCCGTTGTTTTAAGAGCCGCTGGTGATAATGTTCACAGAATTGCTGCTGCAGAATTAAAGTGAGAGAAAGAGGGAGGCAGAGGGAAACAACAGGAACTTGGGTCCTGCTTCTAAACGCATGAAGGATGCCAGGTGACATATGTGCTAGGAGCTCTGAAGTGGCATTTTCAGAGCCCTGCACATTCCGGCATTTGTGGGCTATGATGGAGGAGTGTGATGGGGATGCCCTGGTGATGAGGGAGCAGAAGGCAAGCTGAAGACAAAACACCAGCAGACAACCCCCTAACTACCTCCACTTCCCCAACTCCTGGGTGGGATATGTGTGACATTCTTCCAGATAACGGTCTTTTTTTTTTTTTTTTTCCATTTTTAAAAGCCTTTATTTATTTATTTTATTATGTTCAATTAGCCAACATATAATACATCATTTTGATGTAGTGTCCGACAGTCTTAATGTTAATGCTTTGCTAGACAGAAAAACAACCTGAGCTCGACAATAGCAAGGCCTCCAGTATCCTGAGAGTCTTCGCCAATGAAAGAGTCTTCGCGTATAAAAGAGTCTTAGCATATAAAAGTCCCTTTGGACACCTCTGTTTTTCCTATCTCTCGTATCACTCACGTTAGCCTCCCCAGTGTACTTTGGTACTCTCCAGCTCCTTAGCTGAGGGCTCCAAGATCATCATGGTCATCATGGTCTCTCACCATCTGCTATTGCCACCTGTGTTACCTACCAGGAACAGTTCCCTCTGTTGCCCTTTCTCGTTGTTATCATAATTATGACCACCATTTATCTGTGGCCTGCAAAGCCACCCCTTTGAGCAAGCGCATTATCTCAAGTGGTTCTCACACAATCCTGATTGGCAGGTGAGCAAACAAAGGGCTCAAGGAGGTTAAGAACAATCCCCTGAGGCCAGGACTGGATCTTGGTCACCCAGCATCTACCCAGCAATCTGCCAGGAACCCCACATCTACCCCCTACTTCAAGGCTTTTACAACCGATACAGTTTGTTTTTGTTTTTGTTTTTCCAAAGATTTATGTTTTTGAGAGAGCAAGCACTCATGTGCAGCCCTGGCATGGGACTTGATCCCATGACCCTGGGATCATGACCTGAGCCAAAATCAAGAGTCAGATGTTCGACTGACTGAGCCACAAAGGTGCCCCACAACCTGTACACTTTTCATACCAGGGGGCAAAATTCTACTCCTACTATTTCCCTTACCATCCTCTCCCACTACCTTAATAGAAGTTGTGAAGGTGATGGGAGGGGTCAGAGACTCAGGCCTGTCCCATGGCCTGGAGCCACAGTGAACAGACCAGAACCAGGTACTCAGGGTTGGGAGAGGTGGGACGGTGGGCAGAGATGGGCAGGAGGATCTGGCACTGAGAACTAGTCAAGCAAAGCTGAATCCCTCACTCGCAGAGTCATGAGGGCATTGCTGATGACAAGACTATAGCCTGCCTACAGCCGTGGTCCCCAAACTTGCCTGCATCAGAATCACCTGATGGGTTCCCATGTCCAGAGTTTCTGATGCTATAGGTCAGGGATAGAGCCCGAGAATCTGCATGTCTAACAACTTCCCAGGGCATGCTGATGCTGCTGGTCTGGGACTACACTTTGAGAACCACTGGGCTGGCAATAACACATCCAGCTCAGAGTAATCCAGTCACCATTTTCTTCCCACAGGTCTCCAATTATTGCTCACGTCTAATTCTTAGCACAAAGGAACCTCTATTACTGACGTGTTACTAGGGCACCAGGGTCAACAGGAGCAGCCCAGGCCCTCTCCAAAGGCGTGGTAGGAGCTGTGGTTACAGCCTAAGGGAGGATTTAAAATACATTACATAACAAACTGGCAGCATTGACCTTTTTTGGGTTATCCAGTAGGTTCTTCTGTTTATTTTATTTTATTTTTTATTGTTTGCTTTGCCAGCAGCAGGTGAATGGGAAAGGAACCTAGTCTGTCATGTTATCATAGTCAGTGATGATGTTTTGGGGCAACAGTTGGTGTGGGAAGCCCATGGGAGGCGACTGCTTTGCTGGCTTTCTGGATGCAGACAGAATTAATGGAATAATCACACGTACAGCTTCCTTTTCTCTCTCTCTGCCTGTCTTTCTCACATAGACTGAACGAAGGGAAAAAGCACATCAGGTCCTCCTCTGGGCACTGCTTCTCCTGGCATTTGTCACCTCCTTGCTGGTCTTTATAATTCCTCCCACCCCAGAAATGAGTCTCATCTCACCTGCCTTGCTTATTTTACAACTCTGTTACGAAGATTGACTGATAAAAGGAATGTGGTCATACCTTAAGAAAGAGAGTTTTATACACACACACACACACACACACACACACACACACACAAGGTGAGATTTTTTTAGAAATAAAAATAAAAAAATAATATTTTTATATTTTTATAGTTTGGCCTGGTTGAGTCTAAATGTCTTGTCATTGAACACGGATAGATCTAATCTGATTGTATTTAATGGTATTCAGTGTCCTTTGAAATGTCGGTTAAGTTAATACCAATTTAAAAAAATTTCCATTTAATCCCTGGGTTCATGGGGCATTTGAATCACACCTGTGATACCGCTAAAGGTTTGAAAAAAGGAGGGGAGTTATATAAGGAAATATGGCAAATTTAATGAAAATTAAACTTACAAATGTAACCACCTCACAAGCTTTTCTGTTGAAAAATAAATAGCAGGGTAGGGAAAAAAATGTACTTTTAAGCCTTTGGGTATTTAGTGGAAAATACAATTGCTAGAAGTAAAATCATATACAAAGTAAAAGCTTTTTATTATATTAAGCTTTATTCCCATAATGGATCTTGGATACCAGAAGAAAACGGATAGGTAGATAAATAGAGTCTATGAATTGACCTGAGTCAACACATGAGGTAAGAGAAATTAAGGTTGAGCACTGTAACCCTGTCTGTGACCTCCCTAAAGATTTTTTACACTGTTTGCTACAATATTTAGAAGATGTTAGAAATAAAGAAGGGTACAGGGGCGCCTGGGTGGCTCAGTGGGTTAAAGCCTCTGCCTTTGGCTCAGGTCATGATCCCAGGGTCCTGGGATCGAGCCCTGCATTGGACTCTCTGCTCAGCGGGGGCCCTATTTCCTCCCCTCTCTGCCTGCTTCTCTGCCTACTTGTGGTCTTTGTCTGTCAATAAATAAATAAAATCTTAAAAAAAATAAAGAAGAGTACAAATAGTTGACATCAATGGACTCTATTAGACACGTTGATATGGTAATAGGTTTGTAATCCATGACATGAGATATATTTGCTCACCCCCCCCCACCTGCCCCACGAGCATGCAGTGGGATCAAGCTCAGGTGCCAGTGATAAGTCACCAGGGTAGACTGTGGGCAAAGCCTGGTTTTTAACTCTGTGGCTCAAACTGCCTTAGCTTTCTCACTGGGGGCTTCCAGTTCTCATTCTGACTTTCCTCCTGCTTCGCTGCTCTACTGGACCTCCTGAGCCAGTTCACCTACCTATTCATGTCTCCTGCTCAACTTGCTTTGCACTTTTGCTGCCTTTCCTCCTGACTTTTGCTTTCTCTCAAGTCCCCACTTCCATCTTATCTTTGCCAATTTCAAATCCTATCCCACTCAAATTCCGTTTTCTCTTTGAAGTCTTCCCAGATGACCTGTGTGAAATGAGGCCTATCTCACAGGAACACAGATGGTGGGCCACGTACATCACTCATGGCATTCAGGCATTTATTACTATCACTTTTTATTGCATTATGTAGGTATGCAGTAAGATATAAACTTACTGGGAGGCATAAGCTTTAAGGTTGTCTACTGTGTGGAAAACATTGAGCTAAAAGGTGGAGGACAGAATGCTTATTGGTTGGTTGAGTGAATAAATGTATGTTTATACATGTTGAACCAATATTTATTCAGCAACTACTATGGGGCCAGGCCTGGTTCTAGATGCTGAGGTTACATCAATGAACAATGTACCCTCAAGGAACTTTCACTGTATTGAGGGAAGACAGACAATAAAAAGAATATTCTCACAGAAGAATTTCTATCTGTGATTAGACTGGAGGTGACATGATAGTATGTGGGGGTCAGAAGGGAGGTGGGCAGCCTAGGACTCTTTGAGAAGTGATGTGTAAGCTTTAACTGGAAGAATGTCAAGAAGGTAACACTCCACAGAGCCAGAGGAAGAAAATTTAAGGCAAAGGGAAAAGCCAGTGCCAAGTCCCAAGGCCAGAAAGGAGGCCCATGTAGTTGGACCCCAGAGATGCCATGAGATGAGGCACAAAGGGAGACGAGGGTCTCATGATGATGGCCTCTAGGGAAGGGATGGGCTTATGCAGTGGGGCTCCACTAAGGGGCTTCAAATAAGAGGGCAGCAGGGTGAGAATTTGGGTTGTTATGTGGAGTAGGGATGTGGTAAGCCAGACGAAGAAATGGCCCTGTGGCACTAGCTGTTTGGGCAGGACCTAAAGTGGTCTGGACTATGGGGTGAGAGTAGACATGGAGAGAAGTGGAAGAACTCAAACTTCTCTTGGGAGCTGGACATAGGGCTTTCTGACTGACTGGATGTGGGGTGCAGGACAATAAGGAATCCAGGATGTCTCCTCTGGGCAGTGGTGGGGATGGGGGCATGAAGGGAGAGATTCAGGGGGGTGTGCAGGGGTGGGCTTCTACTAGCTTACTTGTGTCACTAGCTGCTGATACACAAAGGGAGACACGGTGCCTTTCTGCTTTGAATGTTCATCAGTATTATTCAAGGTGGGTAGCAGATGCTGCCCATTGACCTCTTTGCTGTGGCTGGCTCAGAGCTGAGGGCTATGTGGCTTGA